TGAGTTAGGATTACCCCCAAATGCTTCAAACCCCATTTTAAAAACACACCTAGGTCTTGCACAGACCTCATCTCTCTCTCTCACAAATCACACACACACAAACCCTGCATAAATTTAAAAGCCAACTGCAAAAAAGTTACCTTTCACTATGGGCACATGCTTGTTCTGTCAATCCCTCCCCCAATGTGTGCTTGGGCCTTAAGGGTAAAGAAAAAGCACAAATATTAGTTAGTATTACCCAGGTTTTTTTTTTACACAGTATTAAGCACAACTACAGTTAAAAATGGTTTTTACCTTGGCCTGGTGGGGAACTGCAGCTTAAAATGACTGGTTCCATGTTAAACAGATCACACTGCAATAAAGATAGCCACCATTATTTTACTGAGAGATATATATTTTCAAAGTTAAAAACAAAGAACATACCTTCTCCTGTTGCACTCCAGCAGCCATTCAAGAAAGTTTCTGTTGAAAAGGACAGTCTCCAAACTACCTAGGTTTTTGATACCTTCCTAACCCATTGTTTCAAACAACTTCAGTGTAGTAACTAGCAGGTGAATTTGATCACTGCAACTCTGAAATAATAGATCCTTAAAGACATAGGCACCCCTCCCTAGCATTGCCTTTTGTCCTCTGAGGGTGGAAGAATTAAGCTGTCTCCACAACTGAGTTGCTTTTGGCTACATTTTTTTCTTTTAGTTAAAATATATTTTTTGTAGGGCTTTCTTACAGTATTAACAGTAAAAGCACCAATCCTTAATGCAGCTGTACCCATTTCCACGTGGAGACCTTTTGCAGATATCAATACATGTCTTGGGGTTTGTTTTTTTTAAACATGCTTCTTTCATGCTGAAGGCTTGGGGTTTAAATGAAATGCTTTTAAATGTTTGACTGTCTTTAGAGCAAATGCTTGTTCTAAAGTATGGGTAAAAGTTGGAAACATTTTAGTTTGGGGTTAGATCCTTAATTTTTTTTAACTTTTAATGGCTAGAAAAAGTAGCCCCTAGCATTTAACCAACTTCTGGGTCATATTTAAACCTTCCAATAGCATTTCTATCAACTCCTGTGTTCTTTAAACTGTCCAATAGCATCTGCAAACTCCTGAGGTGTTATTTAATTAGATATTCATTAGAGCCCACCCATCCAACCCATCAAATTTAATTACTGAACATTACCCTCACTTAAGGGTAAGTGGTCACACCTAATCCAAACCATTGACTAGAGCCCCTGGCTATTCAGTGAGGTGCGGTTAAACCATTGAGTTTTTGTCTAATCAATCCTAACTGGGAGGAGGCGGGGACTTTTTCTTTTATTTAAAAGCACAGACATTGCATAGCATAACCTATGGCGATAACAGTATTTAATAATGGACTATGCAGCACTTTAAAGACTA